CTTTCCCTATACTGATTACAGAATCAGAAGCTACACGCTCAACTTAAGTCAGTGAATACAGAAGACAGCCAACCTTACTTTCACTGAAGTTAGAGACTGCCTATTTCCTGGGTACTGAGGTGGGGGTGGAGAGAGGGCCTGCAGACTCGGAGCTTGTCAGCTCAATGTGTTCTTTTATAGATCTAACAGCCATTAGCATTTATTTAGGAAACAGAAACAACATCAAAGTGGTCACTTAGTCACTAAAAATCGTCAAGAGTGAGAAACAGAATACTGACACAATCTCAGGTATCATCCCAGAGACCCTTAATTACAAAAAGAAAGGTAACTTTACATTGGAGAAATCTAGTATGTATACCAGATTAACCAAGAGATCAAACTAAACGTCAACAATAATGAGACAAGGTAAAATGTGACTGCTGAGGCACTGTGAAGGAAACATCTATGCAGTGTTTTTTGCCAAAAATGTTTAACCTGATTCTAAACATGAAAAAACAATCAGATCAAACCAAATTAAGAGGCATTCTCAAAACTGGTTGGGACTCTTCAAAAAATGTTAGTGCCTCAAAAGACAAAAAGAAAAAAAAAAAGTATGGGAATTTTGTTAGGTTATAGGAGACTACAGAAACAGGGAAATTACATGTAATGTACCATAATCCTTAATTGGATCCTGGATCAAAAAGGAAAACATATATATAAAGAACATTATTGGGACAACTGGAAAAATTTAAATATGGTCTATATGTTAAATAATACCATTGTATTGTCAAATTTCTTGAGTGTGATCATAATATTAAGGTTATATAAGAGAAAGTCCTCTTTCTTAGGAGTTACATGCTGAAGTACCTCCTGGTAAAGTAACATGGTATCTGCAACTTACTTTCAAATGGTTCAGAAAAAAAAAATGTATGTGTGGGACTTCCCTGGAGGTCCAGTGGTTAGGACTCTGTGCTTTCACTGCTGAGGGCCCAGGTTCAAGCCCTGGTTGGGGAACTAAGATCCCACAAGCTATGTGATGCAGCCTAAAAAAGAAAATATGTGTGTATATAAACATATATTAGAGAGAATGAGATAAAGTAAATGTAACAGAATTTTAATACAACTGGCAAATCTAGGCAACATGAATATGTGTGTTCATTGTACTGTTTCTCTAAATTTTAAGTCTGATTTTTTTTAAAGTTGGGTGAAGAGTAGGGAGCATATGTATGTATTTGATTTTATACTCATAAATATATGATGATGGTCTACGGAAGGGTAATAAGAAACAAGGGTGGTAAGAGAACTAGGAGACAGGAAGGTGATGCAGTAGAGGAGGACAACAGGTGTGGGTGGGAAATTCTTTGCTGTATAGTACGTAGCACACCTTAATATATTTTTACATGTAAATGTTTTATGTATTTAAGAAATTAATAAAAAGGTTTTTTTTTAAGTCCAGCAAAAGTACTGAATCTGCTATAGTGAGATCATATTGGTTTTCTTCTGAAGTTCCCAGGGAAATATTTAGGTAGGAAGAATTATCCAAGCATGTAACATCTGTGATTTTCTTTTTTTAATCTTGGTGAAAGGTGTATCAAAATCACTGGCCGGGGAGAGAGATGAGCAGGTTTTTTTCAGCCATCCACCCCAAGTGGACCTGCCCTCACCTGATGATCATAAAGAAAATTCTTACTGATGGATATGCATAAATGTGAACATATGGAAGAGGAAAAAGAAAGACAGAATCTACATAATATGGCTGCAGGTTGATCCACCATACTGCTATATTTCCTCTGTCACCTCAGGTTAAGGTACCCAAATTCTTGATGTCAGTTGCATCCTGGGACCTGCATACTAGGAAGAGAAAGTACTTTGTTCCCAATACCCACCTGAGGGCCCGCCGCTCTGGATAATCGAGGTCATAACTTTGCACAGAGTCATTGCAAGAGTCCCGGGAACTTCCCTGAAGCAGCAGCTGCTGTGGCAATCGCGCAGGCACAGGGAATTGGTGCACAGAAGCATTGGGCTGGGAAGTCGTATGGTAAAGAGGTGGGATGCTATTGCTGGCCTCACTGCGATAGTCACTATCTCGGTCATCAACGGCACTATCAGGATCTTCAAAAGCTGTGGAATAAGCACAGTCAGTCAAAGCACCCCAGCTTTACTTAGTTCTTCAGAATTTTTTTCTGCTTCTAACTGATGTAGCCACAAGCCTGGACCTTGAGAACAAGAGCAAGCTGAGCTGTACATGAGCCCAGTGACCTCAAGATATGTAAAAAACTGTCTCAATATCCACAAGTCTCTCTCCTTATCGAATGAGATAAGACATTTGGTTTAATTTTAGTGCTGATTCTTAGAGGAGTTCCAAGTTGCATTTTCCCAATGCAGAATTCTCTGGAATTCTGCTTCTCTAAGCTATCATAACCCTAGTAAAAATCTGCTTTTAAATATCTTAAATAGATTCTGCCCCTGTACTATTATCAAAATGGGGCAAAAGGGGGAGAAACAGTTTTTCCATCTCTTAGAAAAGAGAAATTTTTGTTTAAAGTTAGCATGGTGTTTTCAGACTTTAAAAACACATGGTTGAATCAAATAAGCAGGTCCACCATCGGAAGCTGGTCCAAGAAATCAGGAAGGTCAAAGCCAAGACTTAGAAGTCAAGTTAAAGTCTAGATGCAGCTGAGAACAGCAGCAGTCTTACTGTCTTGCTGCAACATTGGGTTTTTCTAATAATTTCTGTCGAGCACCCACACCCTGGGCTCAGAATTCCCATCCCAAGCCTGGGCTGAAGAAGAGGAAAACATGTGCACTGTCAATGGGGTCTTACTGACAATGCAGCCTAGTTTATCTAACAGCAGTGACTACAATCTCATAGAATTATTTCTGCTTTTCAGGCCAGCCCCTGACTAGCTACAGTTTTTTCTTGATGTTAGCTAAAATGACCAGAGTTACAAATCCTGCTCCAAGCAAAAGTAAAAATATGCAATACTGTGCTTGGAAAGGGAGTTCAACCTAATAGTGTATTGTAGTTTATTTTATATAGAAGCCATTTCTGATACCATATCCATATGTGTATAATTAATAAGGTCCCACATGTTCTTTCTTGCCAAGTTTCTATTAGGCTCACAATAAGGAAAAGGAACATTCACCATCCAAAATGGATATACTTTTAGCAGATGATGGACTCCTCATATTAGGAATTAAAAAAAAATCCTGGTAGCAATGTGGACAGTGGAAGCCTCCTAATGACCATAAATTAGGCTTTTACAAGTAGGAGATAAGAACATATATTGACACAGTGGAAACAGAAGAGTTAATGAACTAGAGAAAAAAATCCAGACAGAAATAATAAAACCTGGGGACAAACGGAAGGTAATAGGGAAATGACCCCTTGGCTTCTACATCAGACAACTTGGTAGATAATCCCACCAAAAGAGACAGGGAACACACAACATGTGGGTTCCAGACAACACTTGGGGTTACAGCTGGGAGTAGGGGTAGGAAGATCTTACAAGCTTTTCCCACTTGAGTTTAAGGCAACATGTGAACATGAGAAAAGAAGAGAATGATCAGAAGTCCAGGGGAAAAAATCAGTATGAGAAAGAGGCTAAGCTTCAAATGGTCAGGAATAATACCAATCAAACATAGGGGATGCAAAGCATTCTGATTGCAAAGCACTCTGATCACACATTAGGAAAGAGAGACTTTGGAGGTACTGACTTTAGACCTTGATGCATTTGCTGTTCTGAAGACTAGAAAGGATCAAGGGACAAACACCAGTATGCCATTCAGACTTAATTCTTTCTGAACTCACAGAAGGAGTAAGTGTGAAGAAGTCAGTGCCGGATTATTCATGCATACAGATGAGGGGGCAGAGGCAACAAAAGAGACAAAGCCAAAGGTCTATTTAAACTCTGGTAGGAGAATATGCTATTAGTTTATAATCTAGAGAACCAAGATTTCGTCTCCAAAGAAGCAGCAGTGATAGACAATCCTATTGCTTATGAGTCCAGAAGAGGGTAGCTCAGCCAGAGGTAGGAGCCCAGGATCCGGAGCCAGAAACTACTTGGATAGACCCTTAGTTTCTCACTGTATCTGACCTACTACTCCTTAATAATGCTCTGCTTTATTCTGTTAAGCTAAGGGGAGGAATATTCCAAAACATTCCTAAAGGCTGACACATTTCCACACTGAAGGAATAAAGGGCAAATACTAAGAAATAAAGTGTCGGGACTTCCCTGCAGTGGTTGAGAATACGCCTGCTAGTGCAGCAGACATGGGTTTGAGCTCTGGTCCAGGAAGATCCCACACGCCTCGGAGCAACTAAGCCAGTGCACCACAACTACTGAGCCTGTGCTCTAGAGCCTGCGAGCCACAACTACTGAGCCTGTGTGCCACAAATGCTGAAGCCCGCACACCTAGAGTCCGTGCTCCACAACAAGAGAAGCCACCACAATGAGGGGCCTGTACACTGCAGCGAAGCCCCCGCTTGCCGCAACTAGAGAAAGCCCACGTGCAGCAATGAAGACCCAATGCAGCCAAAAATAAATAAATAAAAATAAATAAATTTATTTTAAAAAAAAGAAACAAAGTGCCTGTTGAAAGAAGAGGCCAGGAGTAGAAGAAAAGAGAGTATGAAAAGTAGGAGGGGACAGGAAAAAGGAAATACAAGGAAGTGAGGTAAGACAAAGGACAGGAGCAGAAAAAGGGTAGGTCAAGGGCAACAGCCAGCTTTTCTCCCCCTATACCATCCCTAGTTTCCTCATAAAGTAAATCTCCTAGCACGACCAAAGCTGATTAGAAACTAAAGAGACAAATTAAGGAAAAGCCTTGAATGAAAGAATTGTACTTTCAGTGTAGCAGCGACAGTCTCTTACGGGCTCTACACTCTACCCCACAGTAGTATTTCACCTAGAATGGAAAACTTCTGGCTTCACTGAGAAAGAGAGACTGAGTACAGGTTTGGTTACTCAGCTTAAGGCAGACTTGTGAGCTAGTTTGAGGGCAAAATTTGAAAAGTCCCTTGAAATTAAAAGGCTGGGAAAATTTTCTCATTCAAATATTTACTGAGTGCCTATCAGTGAAGGCTAAACAACACAGAAGACTCAGCGTATAGAGTCAGTCTAATAGGAGAGAGAAAATATGGATACAAATACAAGGATGTATCTATCATGAGAATAGTACTAACCAAATGCTGTATGAGTTGACGGTCAGGTCATTTCCTGTTAGGGTGAACAGGGAAATCATTATGGAAGATATGACTCTGAAAGACTGGAGGGTTTTCAATAGGTGAAGATGGGGGGCGGGGGAATACCTTCTAGAATCTGGACAAAAGCAATGGCATGAGTAAAGGCCTGATGGTGGAAAGGCTATATATATTTTGGCAAAACATTTTGTAGCTCATTTAGCAGGTACGTGAAAGGACATGGAAGGGAATGAGAGAAAATAAACCTGGAAGAGTAGGATGGGGAAAGTAATTTAATCTGGGGCAAACATGGGCCCCAGGCAGAAAGCAGGCACTCAAACAAAACAGAATGAAATACTGAACAACAAGGCTCTCTAGTATGTGGTGCTCCTGGATTAAGTCCCCATCTTTAAATCCAGAATACAGGGAGAATTTTCAGAGAAGGAAAGAGAATTCAAACCTTTTTTTTCTTTTTTCATGGCTTACTTTTTTCCATTTGAAAACCTTAAGTTATCTGAGCTCCCTTAGGCTGCCTTTGAGTAGTTTCCTGGTGCAAATACCCAGGATTCAGATGACAGAAAGTACATACCCCATGAGAAATTCTAGTGACAGGACAAAATTTGGCCTCTCTTAGCATCTACTGGATATCTAATCATTGGGACTCAGTCAACCCACCCACCTCCCCTGTCAGACAGGTAACACAGACAGTAATGTCAGCCCAGGGCTGTGAATCTTGTTGGAAAGAACTAGATGCCCACTCTCTAAGCTCAAAGTTGAAAAAAGTTGGGCTTCAGCCTAGCTGGACTGCTCCAAGGAAAGTCAAACCACGTCCTCAGCCTCTTGTTCACGTCACAAAACCAATGAGCCCTCCTAGGATGAACCTTCTCCTTCTAGTCACTGCACTCCTTAGCTAAGAGATCAAAGGAGAGAGTTTCCTCCAAAAGGTAGCTGACGGTACTACTTGGCTCTGGGGAAGAAAAATCAGGAGATCCTGTCAGGATTATAATTGAAACTTTGGTTTGAAATGAAATTTCTCTCTCTCTCTCTCTCTCTCTCTCTCTCTCTCTCACACACACACACACACACACATAAACACACAGAGTCTTCAGGAAACCAGCCTGAAAGGACATAACTTCCCACTGCAGGTAACTGTCTCCTGAGATTCAAGTAGGGGAAGAGGAGGGAATGGAATTATATATGCTTATATGCATGAATATCCAGCTCCATAGTCAGAGGGAGTATGTTAAAGGGTATGATCAAGAAAATTATAAGGTATTCAAATTCTTACGTACTCTGTTGGTCTCCCCAGCCCAAAGAGGTCCAGTGACCTAAGAAAACCGCAAGTGGTAGCAAAGAAGAAGAGTGATAGAGACAATTTTAGGACAAATTCAAAGAACATTTTCCATCCCACCAATTATTATATACCTTACCTTACTTGAGCCTACCCTACTTGTATTCCATTTATTTTTCATAACATGTAGAGGGCATATGCTTTCTACCAAGCAAAGTACTCTTGCTGTCTGCAATTCACTATATAGAGAATAACAAAAAACTACTGCTTCCGGCGACTTCCCTGGCAGTCCAGTGGTTAAGACTCTGCACTTCCAATGCACGGGGCACGGGTTCGATCCCTGGTTGGTGAACTAGGATCCCACATGGCACATAGTGCAGCCAAAACATTAAAAAATAAATTATAAAAAAAACTACTGCTTCCATACTCATTTAAACCTCCTTCTGGCTGAGGTCTCTTTTAGAACAACATCACTGAGGAGCTAATATACCGTTCCATATTCAAAATGAGAAAAATTTAATCAGCTTCTAAGAAACCTTTCCTTATCTCTATGTTCACCAAACCTGAATCTACTGCAATATATCTATGAGAAGCTCAGACCTGGTTACAGTGGGAAAGTAAGTGATTCCCTTACCCAAGAGCAATGAC